GACCTAAAATTAAAATTATATTTAAAATTGACGACTTTATATTTTTGTTGAAATAATTAAATATTGTTATTATTTGTCCCTTTACATTTCATTTTCATATATTGAAATTTAGTTACCAATTTCGTATCACAATCGCGCATGAATTTTACTTTTCGTCGTTTGATAATTGTGATTATTATAATTAAATTTGTCGTGAACTTTAAGTCTATTTTAGTGCTCCTATTATGAAAAATATTTTGAAATGAAAGTGGGTGGTAGCTGCCAAAGTGGCACACTCATTTTTATTTATTTGGTTTTCTTCCAAAAAAAAAAAAAAATTGACATTGGCATCATAATTTTGAATTATTATATATAGTATCTTGCCAAAAGGTGTTATTATATGTAATAATTTTTGAAAATTGGCATAAAACAGTTAACGATTTCATTTGGTCTAGAAATCTCCCTCTGCCCAAAGGTATTGGTGTTTCGAAAATCAATATGTTTTGTTAACTAACTTGATTATGTGTTTTAAGAGTACCTTACAACGTGTTATATTGTTAGCCCAAATGTGACTTTATAATGATGCATCTAGACTCTTACAGTAATAATGTTCATTTGATTTTGACTTCAATTACAGACTATCTAATTAGATAGATATGTTATCATCCATTGCTTGCATGCATTATGTTTGGATGATATTAAATATGTTATTTTATGTTTCCACAGCTTTAAATGCCTCAACTCTTTCGAGTCAATTGTCTGCTATTGAAACCTTGACTGAAAATAATTATGTGTGATGGAAACGAGATGTAGAATTAGGGTTGGATTTTGCAATGGAGAAGCAACTTTCGAAACCCACAGATAAAAGCGATCCTGAATATGTAGTTGAGTATGAAAAGTAGGAAATTGCTAATAAACTTTGTTTGAAAATTATTAAGCACTCCATATTTGATTCCATTATGGGTGCTATTTCGGATAATGAAAATGCAAAAGGTTCTCAGGATGCCATATGATTGAGATTTGATGAGTCTAATAAAGCTGCAACTGGAGATCTGATGGACAAACTGATGAATATGAGATATGATGGTACAAGTGGGGGTAAGAGAGCACGTTATGAAGATGATCAATATATCTTCTAAAGTAAAGGCTCTTAAGATTCCCATTGCTGAGCATTTTCTGGTCTATCATGTTCTTAATAGCCTTCCGAGCCAGTTTAATCAACTGAATGTTGCTTATAATGCTCAAAGAGATAAATGAGATTTGAATGACCTTATTGCTGCATGTGCCCAAGAGGAGTATAGGTTGAGGCGTGAAAATGTCAAAACTATACAATTAGCTTTTCAGCCACTACAGAACAAGGGGTCTTTTTATAACCATAAGTCTAAATTCCACAAGGGCGACAAGTCACACCGCAATCAGCAGAACAAAAATTTTGGAGGTCAGACTTCTGGTCGTCCCAAAGGAGCAATAAAGAAAAATGATCAATGCAAGTTATGGAAGAAGAAGGGTTATTGACAGAAAGAAAGTTTTAAGTTTAAGACTTGGTTGGAGAAGAAGAAGAGTTCTGCAGGGGCTCACGAGCAAACGGAGTCCAAGTGAGAATGAAGTAACATTGTGCATTAGGAATGGAGTTCAAGTGAATGTTGAGTTCATAGGAGTAGTGAAGTTATTTTTGGAGTCTAATTTTTCTTTTGTTTTAGAGAATACTGTTTTTTGTACCGAAAATGAGACGAAATTTAATTTCTATATCGAATCTTGATGTTTTTGGTTTTTCTTTTAATTTTGGTAATTGAATGATTGAATTATTTTATGATTCTTATTTGATTGGAAATTACCTCTTATGTGATGGTTTATATAAATTGTTTTTGGCTTCTTTTGGTGAAGTCTCTTGTGTTAAGAATATGTCAATGAAAAGGTCTTTATTCATGAATTATCCTTCATGTTGTGACATAAGCGGTTGAGTCACATTTTAAAGGATATGATGGAGAGATTGGTTAAAGTTGAGATACCTTCCTTTCTCGACGTCTTTGATTTTGATACTTGTATGGATTGTATAAGAGGAAAGTTGACTAAATCCACTACGAAAGGGTCCGCTAGGAGTGATTTTAATGTTGGGCATATTGTCGACCCTGTTACTTTTTATCAAGTATTGACAAGTCCTGAGTCACATAAACTTTTTGAACTTCCTCCGGATGCTAAAGCCATAGATAACAAGTGGATCTTCAAAAGAAAATTTGACTCAAAAGGGAATGTTGAACGAAAGAAGGCGAGATTGGTTGCAAAAGGGTTTACTCAACGAGAGGGCATTGATTATAATGAAACTTTTTCACCTGTTTCGTCCAAAGATTCTTTTCGAATTATCATGCTACTTGTGACACATTATAATTTGGAACTTCATCATATAGATGTTAAGACGGTTTTTCTGAATGGAGATCTTTCAGAAATGGTTTACATGAGACAATCTGAAGGTTTTGTTGTGAAGGGAAAAGAAAACTTGGTATGCAAGTTAAATAAATCATTATATGGCCTTAAACAGGCATCACGACAGTGGTATTTGAAGTTTGAGGATGTTGTGACTTCTCTTGGTTTTGTTAAAATATAGTCGATCAATGTATTTATCTTAAAATCAGTAGGAAAAATTTTATTTATCTTGTCCTGTATGTTGATGACACTTTACTTGCAAGGAGTGATTTGGCTCAATAGGTTTCATTCGAATCCAGGGCAAGAGCATTGGGGAGCGTCTAAGAAAGTTGTGAGATACTTAAAGAAAACTGAACATTCTATACTCACTTTCCAGCGTTCAAATCACCTTGAGGTAGTAGGCTACTCAAATTCTGATTTTGCTTGATGTCAAGATGATTTGAAATCAACCTCAGGTTATATTTTCATGTTGGCTGGTGGTGCTATCTAGTGGAAAAATGTTAAGCAGACTCTAGTGGCATTTTCTACTATGCAGGTTGAATTTGTGGCATGTTATGGAGCTACAATTCAAGCTGTTTGGTAAGGAATTTTATTTCTGGGCTAAAAGTTGTTGACTTCATCTCGAGGCCAATCACTATTTATTGTGATAATAGAGCAGTAGTGTTCTTTTCAAGAAACAATAAAAGTTCTAGTAGATCGAAACATATTAACATCAAATATTTGGTAGTTAAAGGCAGAGTCAAGGAATAGCAGACGAAAATAGAGCATATTAATACAGAGGCAATAATTGCAGATCCTTTAATTAAGGAACTCGCTCCTAAAGTTTTTATGACACATGTTGCTAATATAGATATTGTGGAAACATTTGATATTTTTGGTTAGTGAGAGTTATTTATGTAGGGCAACCCTTATGTTTTTTTGGGTATAGCCATTTCCAATAATAAAATAAAATTTCTCATATCCATAAATTATTTTGAGCATATATTTGACTTATGTCTTTTATTATGATATTATTTTGATCTTGAGATATGACAGTTAAAGACATAAGATGAGTCTCTTTTAGAGACATGTGACTTCATTTTGATTAGAAGCATTTTAAGGACCGATATGAATTAACACAATTTTTTATCACATTTGGTGCTAAGTTCATACTACATACTACCACATTGGTTGGAGGATGAGGATCCATGTCGATAAGAATGTTGACATTTGTAGCTGTGGAATGATCTTACATTGTTTGATTGGTGTAACGACTTCCATGTTCGATGTTAACATTTTTGTTGGACCGAATCATGTTGTGTAAGGTGTTAACATTGCAGCTATACTTGTGTGGCCTCCTATGTACTCTGACCCAGAGGTTAAAAGTTCTGTTCTATAGCAATCAAATGTTTGCCCAATGGGAGAATGTCAGAATAATTCTATTATGTGGATTTCCATTTGATTGCGAATTTTACGGGTTAGATGTATGGTTTGCAATGATACTATGATTAGACCCAATATGTTAGCAATCACTGGACCGTTATACACCTTACAAGCTATATTATTATAATGTGGGCTGGAATTATGTAAATCCTAATTAGGGTTAGAGTCGGTAATGTGCCGACTTTGTAATTTCCTATATAATGGCTAGGTCTCTTCTTCTCTCGATATTGTTTTATTGACTTGCCACATTGGTGGGTGATTATTTTGTGAGTAGCAAGGAGATGAAGATCTAACTGGTAATATTCATATATAACAATGTCTTCCGCATGTATGAATTTCGAACTATCAATTAACTATGAGATTCTTATTCTTAGCATGATTGTATTGAATAATTTCAACAATAGATATGGATTTCGAAAAGAAACATATTTCTGAGAGTTCCAAGAAGACGCATTTTATATTTTCTAATATTTTGAAAAATGTTCAATGCATGTTTGATCTTATAGACACTATAATGGAAAACGTCGAACTATAATCCAATCAAATTTGCGACCTATTGAAGGATGAGTAGAAATCGAATCGAGTGTTGTTTAAGACAGTCGTATTGACTTGAAACACGTCCCAACTTGAGGAGGGGGAAAAATCAAATAAGGAAAAATAAACTTGAAATTATTAAAAAAAAAAAAGTTGCATCTCTGTGGGGGTTTAAAATCGAATGGAGAGTTCATAACAGCTTTTTCATAGGTTTCTCAGAAGAATAACAAATAAATAAAACTTTCAAGATTATTAATATCGACGCTTAAAACAAGATAGATGGTTCGTCCAAATAAAATGAATATTACCTCAACATGGAGTCCTTTCTTTTTGCAAAGAGCTTTAAGAGCAAAATTGCACCTAGTACCTGTCTCACCAAAGTGCTCTAGAATTGCTGGTGTCGAATGAACAAGAGCATCGGGCTCGACATACTGAAAATCTTGTAAGCCAACGGCTGACTGCAAAATTGAAACCGCTAGATTGAAATGGAATATTAGCTTAAAAGCAGGCTAAAAATCATTATGGAACAATTGAACAGTAGTCGGTAGTACTGAAGAAGAAAAAGAAGTTCAAATTTTGTTCATTTTATTGTCTATTCTTGTTCAATACTGCGTACTAAACATGAACTCAGTGTGAAGTTGCTCAATACAAGAATATGCACCAATATCGCCAACTCACGCACCATGAACGACTCAAACGCACGAGAAGAAACAAAAAAGAAAATAAAGTTTTGGATTTCCCCGAGCATGAAAGAAAAATGTGAAACTAAGAAATATAGAACTTTGTTTTAAGATGAGCAATCCTAGTGCACAAGTAACATATCAAAAGGAGCCAGTGCACATTGTAGAACAATAAAAAAGGAAAACAAATATCTTTTAAACTTATTGTCTAATATGAGATATACAATGAGAAGCCATACTTGTAGATCCATTCCACACAATAAGTTTGCAAATTTCAATATAGACAAATCTTGTATGAAACTTTAGTGTCCTATGTATGATTTTTTACTTATTAGTATTATTATTATTTTTTAAGTG